TTCATTCTTATTTGGAGACCAAAGCCATAGGAGATGCTTTCTGTGAAGACAGCTACAAGATTTTATTCCGTTAAGGAGAGGTTTTCTTGAGAAGAATGCTGTTTTCCCTCATGAAGGGAGAGCTTAGGAAGTTAGGTCATATTTCCCAGACTGCTCCTGCTGCTCTCTGAGGGCGTTACCCTTTCTTAACCACCCTGCCTTGATGACGCTTGGCTATATCAAAAGACTTAACTTCAGTCCAGTCCCTCTGATTCATTTCCTTCCAAATTATATTATTATAGTCTCTAGTAAACAAACAAGTTCTGCAAAGCATTATTTTTCTTTTAGAAGAAAAAAAGGGTGAAGAAATGGATCAGACAAAACTAAGCCAATCCATATGCATGCCTGTTGTTCCCTGAGACTTATTGTTCCCTGGGTCTGGTGACTTTGTCGGCCTGTCTTCCTGACAACTGCCTTTCCTGCTCTCCCATGAAAGACCTTTTTTTTTTTTTAATTAGTCATTTTAACTTAAAGACTTTGGCTGCCAGCAACAGGATCTTAATTTTTCCTGGAGATAGGATATATGATCCTCAAAGCTTGCAGTTTTGTCCCATTGTCTAATAATTGCCTTCAGAAGTGCCTTGGTTGGCGTTGACTTCTTTAGGTCTATTGTGTTGATTCCTGGCTCGGTCTTTCCCCCAGTTCTTTAAGCTATTGTGATGCTGAGACAAATTCTCATGTCTGCTGTACAATAATTTTGCATTATGGCCAGATAATAGCACTCAACAGTCTTACGAACACTGCATATTTTATTTACTGCCTAGCTACCTGTACGTATATGCAATGATTTGCAGTCTATAGGGAGTAAGCACTCTGCAGGTGAGAACAGGACGGGGAAGTAAAAGAAAGGGGAGAGAACTGAGAGCATTGGTAAACTGGATGGGTAAAATGTAGTCATTGACTGTACACAAAACAAAAATTGTAAGCAAAGATTTGTAAAGAAAGGATGAAATGTTAAAATTTAAGAATAACAAAAATACTGGATAAGGCTTTCTTTGATGATGAAATATGTTCCACTTCAAGCTGAATGGGAGGATTGCAGTCTTACGTTGTTTTGGATTCCCAGAGAAGAGCTGTGTTGCTTTTATCACTGTTCTGGAAGGCAGATTCCAGATGTAGACAGAAGTAGTATAGGAAGTATGGAGGCTTTTCTTGCCAAAGCTAGATTGTTCCCCAGGGACCACCAAAGGTATCGGATTTCTTGTTGGTTTGTGAATCTTTGTTTTAATGGAAGAGGAACAGACTAAGCTTGCAGAAGAGGGCCTTATCATTTTAAGGTTTTATTTGTTCTACTTGGTGCGCTGCTAACTGCCTATTTAGGTTTTTGGAAGGTAGGACACTGGGTTATTCCACAAGGCCTGTGAGCAAGCCTGACTGCTTATATAAGTTTTAGACAGAAATTAAGCATTTGTGGTTAGATTTATTTTTCTTTGGTTATGTAGTTCTGTTTCACTTAAGCTGTGGTGCAAGAAAGTGACATAAATGTTACATATGCATAATTTATCTTATGGGAATTTTTTTTTTTTAACTACAGTTGCTACTGTAAATTAACTTTTGGGAACAATGAACTTAAGGGAAAACTGAGGAATGTGTCTCATGCTTTATAATGGAACGTTTGTGCTTGATTCTGTGCAGTTATAAATGACTCTACTGTTCAGCGCTTGTGTTTAAGAAAATGCAGCTCAGAGATTTGGTTGTTGAAAAGATGATTTATCGCAGGGCATAAAGATTTTGAAAACAATTCTTTTACTTATCCTTGGCCTTCAGGAGCAACAAACTTTTCCTTTTGGCTTCAGTTTTTTGATCAAGAATAAGTCTACTCATGCAAGTTTGTTGAAGCCTAAAAGCATGTATTTATTCCTGTCCAAAAAACATTGACTTGACTTGGTCTTTGAAAATATATATGCTATATAAATAAATACAGGGATAAATAAAGTCTACTGTTGGAGTGGGAGTGCAATACTTAATAACATAGGGGACACTCCCATTTGACTCGATGTGCTTTGACAATGTGTGATGTTTAGAGATTGAGTTGTTCTCCAGCCTGAGTTCTTACCCTGCCTGTTTTCTAAGCTGGTGGCTGCTCATCTGAATGTGGCCCTGGGAAGTCCTTTCTCAGAGAGTTTTCATTGTGATAAAACCTGAGCTAAAGAAATTAAACCCAAACTATTCAAAAGACTAGTTTAAGTCAAGCTGAAGAGAGTGTGTTAAACTTTCGTTGTAAATCAGACTTATTTCAGTGGATTATTGAGCTTAAGCTAGGATAAATGTTTTGGAATAAATCAGTTTCAAAGCATGGACTAAACTGTGGCATGCAAACAGTTTTGAAGTGTCATTCTGTAATTTCCTCCATTCTGGCCTTCATCTTTTACCATCTTCAGTTCTGGGAGCTAAGATTCATTTATTTCTCTCAATTGAAGAGGAAGAAGTATTTCCTAGATTTGAAGTTATTTGGGTAATAAAATTTTAAATTTTGTGATTCAAACCCCGAGGATATATGCTCAGTCCAGGTGAAGTTTTGTCTTGGACCATTTCCCCTTGTATGTTTTTCTTTCACTTTTTTAAACAGAGGAAGTGTTGAGACAAAACTTCTTTGGACTTCCGTAGGTGTTTGCTCACTTGTGATCGTGTTTGTCACGTTCTGTCTATCCCCAGTGACCGATACCCATACAAAGAACAGGGTATTGTTTCTCAGAAGTCTATAATTCCTTGAAATATATAGTCATAGGTGTTTTAACATTAAATATTTTTACTGATAGATTTGGTTGTCATATTTGTTTTTCTCTTTCTCCAGCTTTCGGAAATGCCAAAACTGTGAGGAACGACAACTCGTCTAGATTTGTAAGTATTTTCTTCAAAGCTGAATTTGAATTCCTTTTAGGGGAGCGTGTTACCTTGATGGCTATTTCTGTTTTACCTTGTGTCAGCCATCAAGGCATCTGTAAGGAGCGAATGAATAATTTGGATAGAGAACTTTCTTGTAGTTGTCTGAGGACAAGTACCTTCAGCAGCAATCAATATTTCATTTTGCATGTTCGAGCGTGTTCTCCTTCCCCAATGTGTTAGTAGTGCATTATTAGCAGTCACTCCTCTTTTTAAAAGATGTTTCACCTCCTTGCCAGAAAACTTGTTGATTTCTCATGTGGGCATAGAGTTCTACTGAGAATCAAAGTACAGGATAAAAAAAAAAAAAAAGAAAAAAAAATAGGATGTGACAGTGTGTGACCGGATGAAAACATGATTACAGCACAGCTGGATTCTTTAATTTTCTGGCACTGGTGGCTTTAATGTCAGCGACCAAGTGCCTGGTAACTCACTGCTTAGCAAGTTGATCTTTCTGCACAATCTTGTTTTCCATCCATATGTATAATTTTTTTCTGTTAAAATTGCTACTTCAGGTTCTCATTTTTTTTCTATGATGTTTCAAACTGTGTTTACAACTCTAGTTTGTAATGTTACTCGTTTGCTTGTATTCTTTATAATCAACTAGTTGAATTCAGACTTTTTTAGCATGAAACGGAATGTGAAATTATAGGACTGAACTGGCAAAAAAAAAAAGTTGCAGCTAGATTTGGGAGATTGACAAGTGTGATTACTCATCATAGTTTCTCCTGCTAAAATCAGAAGACTGAATGCAACCTTATAATTTGCTCTCTTGTGTGCAGAAGAGTAATATTGTGAGATGAGTGAAGCAGACGACAGCAGACAAATTAATACACTGGGAAAATGGTGCTTTGAGAGTAAAAGCAAATGGATAAAAGCTTGGGATATAGTGACACTTTAGGGCGACTTTTTTCCCACATGGGATACCTCTCTCCCCTTCCTTTCTGATTCTCTAGAGTTGATGATACAATTCTGCATGGTTATGAGTGCTCCTTCTGTGGCTGTCTTTGCTCGTGCTTGTGAACAGAGAAAAGGGTCTTCATCACAAGGTCAGGGCCAAAAATTTGAGGCACTGTAGAAATTTTTTCGTGATAGAAAGGGTAGAAGAAGTGCAACTGTCAGAGATGACGTACTATAGAAAGGAGGAGGAGACAGTGAAGAGGAGAAGAGGTGCCTTTTGCCAACAGAAGTCGTTCCAGGACAAAGTGCAACCAACTGCTAATTTGCCTTTCAAGTCCTCGCTTATAAACACAAAGCTAAAAATACTTTTGGAAACATCCAGCTGGCCCAGTCCTTGGGAAATTAAAATTTAATTATCTGATTTAATTCTTTATCTCAGAAATTTGAATCGGCTCAGAATTAACTTCAAACAAGAAAGTGCAAGTACTGTCCTGTCTAGCCTGCCTCAGCTGCCAGCGAGGGAAAGGATGGAGTTTAAATAGAGTTAAGCCAATCTTGACAGAATACCCCGTAAATTAGAAAATATCTTTGATGGAGCCAATGTACAGCGCTTGGGTTTTATGTTCTGTAATTAAAATCGAAAGAGGAAGAAAACAAGAAAACTTCCTAAATACAGTGAATAAGGAGGTACAAACACAAGGCTTCTCTTTTCAATAGATCGTTTTTGTCCTCTGTTAAGTAAGCACCAGAGGGTGGTGAGATCATTTCTGCGCACGGCTTGCGGAATTTGTTTGAATTACTACCAGCAGTTTTTATCTTTCTAAACTTCCTTGCCAGTGAGCGTTGTGTGGCTTTTGCCTTTTCTGCACAGTGTGGGCCTGCCCGCTTTGCCGCTGTTAAACGTTGCCGTTAGTGCATTAAACACTTGTCATGTAAATTAAAGCGATGCAAAGGCCAGAGCGATCTTCTGTGATATGGAAAAGTCAAACAGAAGTCAAGGAAACACGCTGTGCCACTACAGCTGAAAATGAAATCGCTTTTGCGGTGGCAGTCTGTTAATTGTTGCCTCTGGTCTCCTGAGTTACAAACGGGAAAAATCCATCACTTTTACAAGGCAGGCACGTGCTTGGGGACAGACGCCCCATGATTACTAACGGTAATCGCTGCCAGCCAGTCCTGAAAGCCAAACGGGGCGGCTGTCCTTCAGCTGCCTTCGTGCACGCTCTGAGATGATTTTGCGCCGAGAAAATAAGTCTGCGTGGAAGAGAACGTCTTCCTGCGTTCTTCCGTCAGTAAGCGTGGTAATACCTACATAGCCACGGGAACGATTTGGTGTTCTTGGCGTTCTGATGAAAGTTTGTATAACGTGCTTTTTCTTCGTAGAACCGTAGAAACTGAGCAAATTATTGGGTTGCACTGCAAACCTGATTGAGGCTGTTCTCGGGAAAATCTCTGGCTGTGATAATGCAATTGTCTTAGAAGCTTTGAATTGTTTTCTGTTTTTCAAAATTTGATATGAGTTTACTGTAGGTTTCCAGATCCCTCTTTTAGCCTGTTATGACCAACTAACTTCTTAAATGACCAACTAACTTCTTAAAAAAATGTGTTGAGCAGTTTTTCTTAAACAGACTTTACAGTCTTAAAATGTTACTTTCACAGGGAAAATATATGGATATTGAGTTCGATTTCAAGGGTGACCCACTTGGAGGAGTTATAAGCAACTGTAAGTATGACTCTTGGTATCAGCACATTAACAGCTTAAAATGTTTTGTTCAAAAAGGACGATGGTTAAATTATTGAAAAGATCAGCTGTGCTTGTCTAATCGAATCTCTCTCCATTATGAGATAAATTCTACTTTTTAATTTTGTTGTTGTTTTGGTCCCAAAAAGAGTACCTTAGAGTAAGTGAAAACAGACTGGAAGAAGTAAGCGTGAATAACGAATGTACTGTATTGTTTTAAAAGGTAATGAGTAAGGGGCGTGGGTCCATATATTGTCTTTAAAGCTGGTAGCAGACGGATAAAGTGTATCTGAGACTCTTTTTATATTTGAACCCCTGGGATCAGTTATGTTACTTGATTTGATAGGTTGTGTATTTATGATAGATGATGTCTGAGATAAACTGTTTAGTATTTCATGAAAGTGACATGAAGTACGCTGGAGATGACCATGAGTTGGGTATGGTTATTTTGAAATCAAAGCATTCTGTACTAGTTTTAACATACCTCACAGTATAGGAAAAACTTGGTCGTGAGGGAGGATGAACAGCTGTTGAGTTTAGGGAGGGAAAGGTGGCTTCAGATTTTGTCACTTGACGTGAGGATGCTGCTATGAAATCTATAACGATTCAGAAATTTTAAACAGCTCTCTGTTGGGAAGAAAGAGGCCAGGAACTGAATGCCAGCCCAGGATGCATGGACTTGCTTTTCTTTCGAGAGTTTAAATGCAGGTTTTTAAAGAAATTGCTCTTCTGTGCTATATAAAGCTATGTTTGTTTGGTTTTCTTGGTTTTAAAAAGGGATAGAGTGACTATACTGGGTGTCACTGACCTAGCCTTGGCTTCTCTTCCCACTCAGCCAAATTCATTGCTATTTCTAAAGACTGACTTTTTGACTCCATGGCAGTTTTACTGGTTGTGACATAATGAGAATCCTCCAAGGCGAACTGAACTCCCCATATAGAATATAAACATTTTAAAACGTTGTGAGGAGGAATTTTATGCATAAATATAGGGTTTGAGTCTTTTTTTTCACAGGTCAAATGTTTTTTTCTGGACCTGGTCACCTTTTGGAGCTGTGCCTGGAAGAGCATGATTTTTGTGGCAGAGTAGATCTTCAAACTCAAAGCAGTCACTGTTTAAGTGTTTATGGCTTTCTATTAACTTTGACATTTGACAGTCAATGGAATTGGACGCCAAACATACTCAGTGTATTCATCAATAATTAAATGTAGACAAAAAGGTTCTAGCAGGCTAGCTGTGGTGTTTGTTTCTTTTTATAGCACATTCAAAACCAATACATAAAAGTGAACTTTATTTTTGCAGAGCGGCTTTCAACAGTTCGTCTTTGAAAGTAAGATGCTGAATCACCTAATTAAAATATTGTGTCATATCAAAAGGTGATCAAAATAGTTGCTCTATAGTTTATCTGCCTTATAAATCTTTGCACATTGTAATTATAGCATTACATGTAATTATAATGGTGTGATGACATGTGTAATCAAGGGCAGACGTATTTTAGATCTTTCGAAAAGATACCTATCTTAGACATTCTCCTTGTCTTCTCGCATTATCTAATAGCGAGAAGAGGGATATAAATTTAATAATAAAGACCTTATGTGTAGGCCCTATTGTGGAAAAAATGTTACTTGTTGAGCTATGAAACAGCCCATGCTGACAGGGTATGTCACAGTTAAATACTGAGTTCCTGTAGCTGCCTGTTAATATATCTCATCTTTGATTAAATGTTTGCAAAATTTAATAGTCTATCCATGTCTCTTTAAAAAACAGGTTTGAATTCTGTGCAATTCCAGCCTTACATTTTTCCACACATCTGCTGCATTGCATTTATTTGGATGAGAAATGTTTCTGTTGTGAGGTATCACCACTCTGGAGATACTAAGGGCTTAAATTCTTCTACATCACTTTTAATTTACTCTGTTTTTAGTCAAATTTAGGATTTGTCATCCGAATTCATCAAGTAGGAAGTCAAGTAGTGCTCAAGTTTCCTATCCTTAGAAGGGAAAGCATGGTTAGTTTATTCATAAATATTATTCACTTTCTGACCATCTGTTGGTTTGGTGTTAACGTGATGTGAAGATAATACCATAATATTTTGATTAAACTTTAATAGTTGCATCTGATGAGCTTGATTGCCAAGCACCAATGAAGTTAGTGGGCTTTTCGGATCCTAGCCTCTTGTCACCAAGCTGTATTACATACTGTGAGTGACTGGAAGCAGACGTGGTGAACATCTAGTTTATTTCAGTGGCAAGAAAGAATGATGAAAATAAGCTACTAATTTTATAGAATCATAGAATAGAATGGTTAGGGTTGGAAGAAACCTCAAAGATCATCTAGTTCCAGCCCCACTGCCATGGGCAGGGAAACCCTCCACTACACCAGGTTACCCAAAGCCTCATCCAACCTGGCCTTGAACACCTCCAGGGATGGGGCATCCACACATTCTCTGGGCAACCTGTTCCAGTGCTTCACCACCCTCTGAGTGAAAAATTTCTTCCTTATATGTAATCTAAAACTCCCCTCTTTCAGTTTAAATCCATTGCCCCTTGTCCTATCACTACATGCCCTTGTGAAAAAATAAAGACTAGTAAAGATAGACCCTTATCAGACTAGTAAAGATAGCCAGAGACTTATTAGGCTAAAAAGGCCTGTTTGAAATAGTCTGGTCTGTCCTGCTCTGAAATGCTGTGAAGCTCTCTGAAAGAATAGTCAATTTGCCATGCTACGGACATGTAGCAGCTAGTGTGGACTTCCCTTGGCCATTCTTCTGGCGCTCTTCAATGAGTTCTTACTTCTTAATGACAAGGGTTAACCTACAAGTGAGCCTTCCACAGGACAGAGCTAGAGGGTAAAATTGTCATGACAATGCATACTGCATGACTGTCCTGTCTGATTTTTGGTCTATCGGCTTTAGCAGGAGCTGATAGATCTGAAATGTTTAATGTGCCATAATGGAAGGGTAAATCTGTTGAGTTTAGGAGGGGAATAATAAAATGGAAGAGATTGTAACGGAAGAGGTTTGTAACAGCTGTTAAGTCAGAACTGGTATGCTCCCAAACTGGAGGTAATTTTAGGTTTGAACAGTGTAAAATACGTACAGACTCATGACACGTACGTTACGTGGCTGCTCAGAGCTTCTGAGTGCACTGATTTGTGAGGCATTTGACATATTGCTGTATCATGATGTACAGTCATAGAAAGAAACTGAGAGTGAAAAACTTGAGATAAACGTGATTTATGCATTTATTACTTCAGTCAGGAATTTTTTTTTCCTCTTAGAGTACAAAAGAACAATGATTTCAAGCAGCATGTATTGTACTTGTTTGACCCTGTGTCCACAGGAGGGTGAAGGGCTGAGTAAGCTGAGGTACGTAGTAAGCCGGAGTGGTTGGAGTCCTCCCTTTTTGTTAGTTTTTGTGAAGGTCCCACCTTGTTTTCCTAATGGGTGGTAGATGCTGGAACCCAATGTGAGGTGAGGCATCCGTTCACGGGTGGCCTGTGTCGTGTGTGGTGTTAGGGAGCCCAGGTTACTCTCGTGAGCTCTCCTGAACACAAAACCCTTGCTGGGTTGTTCCTCCGAGACTGTAGGTATCCCATCGTTGTTTTGTAAGGAACACCAGTCCCTGCCTAAAGGTATGCTGCTGCTCTCAAGTGCCTGTACAAACAGGTAAATTGCAGTTACGTTTTCTCTCCTTGAGTTGAGTACAACCTGGTACTCTGCTCTTTCTGTCCTCCCATGAGGTGTCTGCGGTTGCTGCTGTTGCAGTGAATGCTCTTTTCGGTGCTTACGCCCTCGTTTTTTTTTTTCCCTAAGCACTTATGAGGAAGGGCAGTTGGAGTGTTGGGTAATTAACTTGCTTCCACCTGAGTGTTCTATTGTGGAAATAAATTACAGAAACCATCAATATACTGTTCTGAGGTTTTCCATTTATTATAACTACCATGATGTAGTGGGGATGGGAGCAGGAGAAAGATAGAAAAGAAACTACTATTCTTCTGTAAGGACAGAATAATATTTATTTTATGTAAAAACAGGTACATTTGTTTTCAGAGTAATAGATCCTGATTGCAGTAGCTTGTACAGCTGTAAAATATGACTCTGTCCACAGATGCTGCATCTGTTTCATTCTCCAGGTGATGTTTGTGTGCACACTGAATTCATTAGCTTTGGTACTGGGTTCATGTACACTTAATTTTATGGTTGAAATAGTTTTGCATGGTACAGTTCAAAATGCTTCACACTTGTGGTTATTTAGACCTTTTCAAAAGCAGGGATCTTACAATGTCTCTCCCAAAATTTTTGCAAGTCTTAGATGCTCACGTTTCACCTGGGATTTCCTGCTGACTTTTTAGCTTTAGGTGATCTTTCCTAATCTACCTAAGCCCTTCAGTGATTTAATGATTAACTGGAAGACAACAGTGGTGCAGGTCCAGTTCAGTGTATGTAATGCCCTGCTTTTGAAAAGCCGTTTTTAACCAGCTCGGTGTACTTACAGTCCAAACAACAAGTGATTAAGAAAGGGCCCTGTTTTATCATCTTTTCCAACAACAACGTGAAAAAAACCTATGATGTTTGTCTAAATCAACAACTTTTTTAAGTTACCAAAGTGATAGCGATAACTTTACAACTTGTTCTTCTTTACGACTTGTTTGTTCGTTTTAAAAGACGAAAGCAATTACCCACTTACTGAGAAGTCAACAACTCGGGCTGTTGATTTTAGTTATGTGATTGCTGTTAGTAATCCCCTTTGCTCAGGGAAATATTACACAAATTTTACAATTAGACATTATGGAAAGAGATACTTATTCTTGTTGATTTTTTTTTTTTTTTTTTTAAATCTTAATTTGTTCCAACATCTCGCTTGGTGTTTCAGTTAGCACAGTTGCCGCCATTTAGGTAATTGCCTTGCCTAAATTAGGAAGTGTTTAAAAAAAACAAAAAAAAACCCAACAAACAATACTAAGCATTTTTATTAGCTCATTTTCAAACATCATTTATCACTTGAGTAATCAGGATTTAACACTCTTAAAATTGTGCAGTCATCGTATTATCACTGCACATACCGCCCAGATAGTAGTTTTGATTTGATGCAATTACAGAACATTTCATTCAAGAGAACATTATAATAAACTTGGTGGGAATAATGGGAAGAAGTTCCTGAGAAACCACTACCGTATATTCTTTTTCATCAGTGACTTTTTTTTGATGACAGCTGAGGAATCGAGGTAGGAATACAAAAACCGTAATTTAATGTAATGTAGGTGAAAAGATAAGCTTCCATGACTGGAAAATGTTCTGTGAGTTTGGTTGAATAGCTAAAAAGGTCCTTGGTCATGGACAGCTAAAGAGACTGTGACTACAGTAAGTTTTCTTGGATTATTCAGAATGTATCAAGATAGTGTCGTTTTTTGTTTGTAGTGTTTACTTATTCCCTTCTTGATGAATGTTGATTCAATTTCTAGTATATTTAGAGATATAAATACAAATTCTTCTGCGTCAGTCAAGTAACAGAAAAGAAATAATATAAATTTGTACATTAGAGCTTGTGGAAGTATTCACCATCATTTTGGGTTTTTTTTCTTGTTTTTTTTTCTTTCATGTTGAGTTCAGTCAAATAGTTTAGCAGGATGTTTACACAGATCTCTTGCATTTAAACCAGTTATCTAGTAATAACAAATAATCTTCAGAACCTGAGGAATGTAGCAGGATTTTGAGTCAGCTGAATTGTCAGGTTTTCAAACGATATGATTTAAGAAGTGTTTCCAGGGTGGACTTTTCTAAAGCAATTTAATTCTTACAGTTGCTTGGATACACGCAACACGTTACATGTTTCAGTTCAAGCAGAAGCATTGTTAGATAATGCAGAAAGAACACCTAACCCATAAATGTACCATAAGTAGTTCTGTATGTTCCCTCTAGATAATTCTGTATAGTTCTTATACATAATTTCTATACCCTGTACAACACAATGTAGTATGTATTGAGTTTGGGGCTTTTTGCTTGTGTGGGTTTGCATGTCTTTAAGCACCATCTGTCCACACATGCCCCTGTAAACAGAATTACCAAGTGGGTGCGTGCAGAAATCTGATGTGCGTCTTTGTGTCTTCTCTTTTGATTGGTTAGTCCGCAGAATTTGTAATCACGTGAGAGTCAACGCAAGAGTTGTTAGTGGTTGTGCAGTGGTTGCCTTAAGAGTAATATATTTGATTGATTTATTAAAATGCTAATTAGGGCAAACAAAGAGAAGACATTTTCTTAAGAGTAGGGCAGATGGTCTGGATCTTTTCTACCCGTCTGATTTCAGTCTGCATGTGAGGAGAAAGAAGAAGGAAAAGCAGAGAATGAGTACAGCTTTTAAAAGAATTGATAGCAGCTGCGTTGTTCAGGTAAATACCTGATTTTCTGTCAGTAACTGCTTTCTGGAGCTTTTTTCCTCAATTACGAAGGCTGACAGAATATGGAATATTGGGACTTTGGAAAGCTAACTGTAAATAACCTTGTTGCTTCTAAAAAATATATAAATAAGATAAACTGCAGTGAAAAATCCAAGACAGTGATCCATCTAACAGAACTAAATTGAGATACGTTTCACAAACTGTGTGTTAAACCTGCTGAAGGCATTCATGTAATTAGGAGACGACTTACATACAATATTTTGCCGGGATATATAGCTGAGCTTTTATGACAGCATTTGAGTAAATTCATATGTCAAGTACTTCGAAACCCAAATAAGCCAAACCGCTTTGCAAACAGCATTGCTTCAGTATCCTTTGAAAATACAGCCGTTTCCTGAAGCGTGTGCAGCCACGGCGGGAGCTGGAGTTGTTTATTTCTTTGAGATTAAATTTGGCTGCTATCCGTTCCAGCGGTTCGCTGGAGAACCTTCACGGCCAGCGTGACTCCAAACTGCCTGGCTCTCCGCTTGCCTTCTTGACTCAAGAATTAACACTGGGATGGTGCACCAGCCTCTCCCTTTCAGTTATAGATTAAAAACTAGAGAAGATCAGGTATCTGATTGTTAGGCTAACTAACTAGGAAAAAGGAGAAAAAAAAAAAGATGTTAATAAAACAGAAAAAGCAAAAGTAGAAATCTGTAACCTGCCCTATCCTAATGTGAAGATGAGCTGCTGGCAATATGTGGCAGCCGCTTGTTTGAGCGTATCTTGGCTTTAGCTTGTTCATCAGGATGTGCAAAACTTCCAGGGCCACCTTTGGAAGGAAGGAGACTGTAGGGTTATTGAGTTGTAAAAACACAAGTGTCTATTCAAAGAAGACTAAAGCTCTGATATGGTCACACAACGCGTTAGATGGTGAAGAGGTATTTGCCTTCATACAGTTGGATGCTCTGGCTGTTGGGAGCTCCGTTCGCTGTCACCTGCTGTGCTGGTTACACTTCTCTCAGGCAGTTGCATCTTTATGGAATAACATAGTTCAGCTGGTCTGTAAAATGTTTGGAACTTGTCCTGCTACAAGCCAGCTGGAAGATTAATAATACTGTCTGAATTTTGTCATTGTGTTCTCAGGCTAGTTATTAGAGCAGAAATTAATTTTTTAATCTGTCTTGCTGTAGTTAATTTGAGGAGGGCCTCCGAAGGCAGGTATAATTTGGTGGATCGAAGTTGGGTCTTTAATTCCCATTCCATGAGAAAAGGTGTAAGCTTAGGTGACTACAGCAGGCAGCACGGGCACAACATGCTGCCTGTACCTGGTGAAAATACGAATACGCTCTGTTGCGCTCCTCCTTGCTCTGCCATTCCTGGGGCAAACTGCAGGGCAGACGTGCCCATCCGTGCCAGGATGCCAGCAGAGCCCGGGGGCTGTGCCCGCTCCCCAGCTCCTCACCCGTGGTGGGGCTGGAGGGCTGCACTGAGCACCTCCTCTGATTTTCTGGACTGGTAAGACTAAACGGGTTCAGTTTCAGCAGAAATGAGGAAAGCTATAGTAGATTGTACGTTGGATATTATAGCAGCCAGGCAGGGAAAGTGTTTACCAACCCCACATGTCTTCAAAGGAATCGGTGTTCCCTGTGTTTTGCCTCTGTGAAAGCTTGATCCCAACTTTGCGGCAGCTCTCGCGAAGCGTGACATCCAGGCTGCGGTAATTTCCCTTCTGGGGCTTTCTTCTTGCCCGGGCACAGCTCAGAGAGGCCTTACCCCCAGACTGAGCCAGCTGTGGTGGATGGCATGGGGACCTCCTTTGCTGTGCGCTTGGGACGCGGCACTGAAGGTCTCTGTCTTGGTGTAACTGGTTATGTGTAGCTTAAGAATGTACTGGAAACCGCGGATTTGCTATCTGGGAAAATGGTGTGGAGCCCTTGTGTGCCACTGAGAAAAGAAGGGAAAACGTTTTGGGTTTTTTTTGTGCAAAAGCAGTGGGTGACACGATACCTGTTCAGAGGTTCTCTTAGGGCATCCCCCTCACCTCTCATGGTGCGTTGGGGCCCACAGCCTTTCAGAGCAGTACAGCCTGAACAACCTTTGGGTTGTCATCTCCATGGTCAATACAATGTAGAGTCCAAAGCGTTGGATGTGTTACAAGTCCATCCACTTCTGCTGTCTGCCTGGATTCCTGCCCTTACTGGTAAGGCTCAGAAATGTGCCTGTCACTGGTGGTGGTGGACTGAGCAATCTTCTTGTCAAACTACTCAATTGGTGCGGCGATACTTTTCCATTTCACTTTAAATGTCTTATGACGGAGCGTCTGTCAGTCCCGTTGGGAATTATTTCATAGTCTGATGCACCTGAGGATCACAAAGTGCTACCTCATTTGGTTTAAATTCTTTCTTTATTTGGCTTCCCCCTTTCATTCACCCATCTTTCATGTGCTTAGCCATTTAGCATTTCAGCTCTTTTCAAAACTTCACCCATAAGATCGCTTTCACCTAATCTTAATTTTTGTGGTGGTACTATAAATCGGTTGATGTCTTTTAAACACATTGCCTCCCTGACCTGAATTGTCTTTGCAGCTCATAGACTGCAGCATTTAGAAGTGTACCGGGCTTACAGCTTGCTCAAATAACTTATTTGAGAAATATGTACTAATTTGATACTTTGTGATAAGGTTTGCGCCTACCATTTATCATCTAATTTGCTGCTGAAGATATAAAGCAATGAAATAGAAAATGATGGGGGGATTATATTCATATTAAAGTGTTTTACTCCAACAGTCTTTCCCTGACCTGTGAGGTTTTGTTTGTTTGTTTCTTTAGATCTGCTAGAGAAGTCTCGTGTTGTTAAGCAGACAAGAGGTGAAAGAAACTTTCACATTTTCTATCAGATACTGTCTGGTGCCTCAGAAGATTTCCTGTGTAAGTGTTGCCCTTGTGGCATTTTCAGATATGAGTCGTCTTTATATTTAATGTGCTGTTCCTTGCATGCCTTCTTTTGTGGGAAATGTGATATTGATTCATTTTCCAAGTTAGTGGTGGTAGTGGCAATAGTAATACCTGAAGTAAATATATGGTTCGGTATTATCCAGACATCTGAGTCCGAATTAGCTTTGCAATGTATGATAAACAAAGAAGAAAGCCTGTTCTTATTCAGAAAGTGACCATGAAATGGTGGAGTTCAGGATCTCATGTGGCAGGAAGAGAACACCTAGCAGAACTAGAACCCTGGACTTCAGTAGGGCCAACTTTGATCTTTTTAAACAATTGCTAGGAGAAATCCCATGGAACAGAGTACTGGAAGGTAAAGGGGCTCAAGATAGTTGGTTAGCTTTGAAGGACCTCTTCTTCCGAGCTCAAGACCGGTGCATCCCAACAGGTAGGAAGTCAAGAAAGGGCACCAAGAGACCTGCATGGTTAAATGGGGAACCATTGGGCAACTCAAGTGGAAAAAGAGAGTGTACAGATCATGGAAGGAGG